CGGGGTGGCACCCTGGAGTTGGCCCCAGCTCTTGACAGAAAAGGCGAGCGCTGTGTGGAGTGGTTCCACACAGAGGACAGGGCTGGCTTGCACAGGCACCTCCATGCCCCCATGCCCCCTGCAGCGCTGCGAGGAGGTAGAGGCCATTCGGGGCCAGGTGTGCCAGGAGCAGGAGCTGCGGGCCGTGGTGGAGAGCTGCCTGCTGGAGCAGGACCGCGCCCGTGAGGATATCCAGGCCCAGCTTCGGGAGACGTGGGCCCTAGCCCGGGATGCTGCCCTTGTCCTGGACCAGCTGCGGTGAGTGGCTCTGAGCTGCCCTGGGCTGGGTCTCCGGTGGTCACCCCTGGCATTCTTTCTCCCTGACTTTGTAACTGAGAGGTGGATTTCAGGGCCCGGGGCCACCCCACCTCTATTTCATCCAGGCCTTTGCTTCCTGCAGGCAGACCCAGGCAGCACTTGGGGCTGGGAATCTGCACGGGTTTCCCTCCTGCTCATTAGTGCAGCTTCATGTGGCACTGGCCCAGCCCTCAAAGGCCAGCTGCAGGGACAGACAGGGCAGCTGTCAGACCCTTGAAGGTCTGAGTTGGGGGCTCTGCATTTCAGGCCTCTGCCCTCACCAGCACTTGTTCCTGTGTCTGGCAGAGCCTGTCAAGCTGAGCTGTCAGCCCGAGTGAGGCGGGACCAGCCCCCTGGTGCAGCCCCCCTTGGCCCAGCCCTCTCGCCGGCTGGTAAGAACCGTGACCTGGCTCCACACTGGTCAGAGGGGAAGGCAGGGAGCCCTAGAGCCGGGTTTGACCCAGTGGGCTTGGTCTGGTTCTCAGACCAACAGCCACTCTCCCGGGTCCCTGTGTGCACATGACCCCAGAGTCCAGGGAGAGGGGACCCTGGGGATGAAAGCCCACTTCCTCACCTGTGACAGGAAAACTAACCCAGCGGTGGGAGGCACTGGAAAGACCCTGTGCCGTGACTGGCTGTGCTGTGCTGACACCTCCAGTGACTTCTGCAGCCTCCAGCCAGGGCCCAGACCCTGGCCCCCACCGGCACAAATTGTATTCTCCTGTGGGGCTGAGCAGGCTTGGTATTTTCCTCAGCCCATGGGAGGAAGGGCTCCCCAGCCTTGGCCCTCGGAGGTCGCTTCGACAGGGGCAGGCAGGCAGGGAGGGAGGTTCTGATCCAAGGAGGGTCTCCTGCCTGCATGGGCTCAGGATAAAGAGGCAGGGCCTGTGGAGACACAGATCCCCAGCTTACTCAGTCCCTGCATCGCAGAATCCAAGGGCCAGCAAGTGTCCCTGCAGGCCATGAGCCTCCCCGAGCTCTCAGGAGCCCTGGAGGACCGTGTTCATGAGATGGGTGAGTCTCCGGGGCCAGACTTCACTGAAGACTGAGAACCCCTTTTGTTTCTGAGGGAGGCAGAGGGGCCCCTTTCCAGGGAAAGCAGGTTTGAGTCCTCCTACCCCAAGGCTGCCCTTGGGGCCCGAGCCATGATGGCTAAGGAGCAGGACACAACCTGAAGCTCAGAGCCCTGGGCAGCACCACTCAGCCCCAGTGAGCCTGGGCCTGAGAGGCTCAAGGTCATCACTCCTAGTGCCCTGAGCCTGCCACCCAGACTTGCCAAGCATGGTATCTGGTCACATCCTCAGGACAAGCACTGTGCTCAGTGACCCAGAGCCTGGAGAAGCTGCAGGTGCTGAACGGGAAGAAGTGGCGGGAGCCCTAGCCCTTGGCCGGTGAGTATCTGGCAGCCTGGAGCCCACACAGCGGGAGCAGCAGGGCCTGTCTGGGCAGCTGCAGGTGCGCCTACACACCCACCTGTCACCTCGCTTCTCACCAGGGCTTTTTCTTTCAGAATCTGACGTTGGGTGATTGGTCCACCCTGAAGCTGTGTGCCAGGGAGTGAGGAAGGCAGTGAGCAGGTGGCTGCCATGTGCAGCGCGGGCCCAGGCAGGGCCAGAGGATCAGGCCCCGGGAGCAGCCGGCAGACAGAGAGAGGCAAGCTGGGAGCTGCGGCCCTGGCTGGGCAGCTTGGGCCAGCACTGAGGCGGGATGAGGAACTCGCCCCAAGCCTGGCGGTGAGGCCAGAATACATGGGCTGCCCTGGCCCCGACCAGGCAGGGCCCTGGGGGAAGTGTGCCCATACACACGGGTGCCAACTGAGGTTCAACCTTAGGGGTGAGGACAGGGCACCTGGAAAACACCATTTGTTGGAAAATAAAATTTAAGATCAGCTAGTGAAGGTCTCAGTTCTGGTTACATGACATGGGGTACTGGCCCATGTGGCGCCTTTGCTCCTGGAGCCCACGTGACTGACTGAAGACAAGGCTTCGAGAGCCAAGCCCGTTCCCAGCCCGCATAACACAGGGCCTCCCCCGACACACCGCGTGCACATGGAACACTGCCTCCCTCCCAGGCATGGGCTGTGAACATTTTCCCGAGGGTACCACTGGAGTCTTTCTAGACATGAGGCTGTAGGCCGCCACAGGTGATGATGGCTCTGTTTCTTTCTGCACAGTAAGCCTTAACTTGAGGCTGTCCCCTGGAGCTGCTTACAGACAGACAGTGGGGACGGGTGGGTTTTCAGAGCAAAGCAGGTCAGCCCAGGTGGAACCAGGGCCGCCGGGATCAGGACCGGGAGTCTACCTTGAAGGTCTGGGCCCAGAAGCCCCAACCCGGCTGTGCCCAGCGCACATGCTGGGAACCCCTCTCCTGGGCCCAGCCTAGGGCCTCCATCCAGAACCAAAACACAGAGCAGCTGAGGAGCGACTTTATTGTCTTCTTCTCTTGCCACAGATCCATATATAGTTGGGCCCCCAAGGCCCTGACTGTCCCTGGGAATCAAGCCACATGGGGCAAAGCTACCATGAAACCTCACCCACAGTTCACACGTGGTGAAAGAGAAAATTTAGCAAAGTAAATCCAACAACAAACAAAATTAACAGTATTAACTTCCTACCCCAAGCTGGCTCTCCCCTAGGCCCTGGGCTGGCTCAGGAAGGAACGAACTAACCTAGACAAGGCATCCTCCACCCACATATCCTGTCTTCTGAGTGGTCCAAGAACTGTGCACCTCCCCCGTGGGACAATCAGGCACTACCTGGGCCTCCATCAGCCGCAATGAGATGCACACAAATGAGGGTCTGAGCCCCCAGAATGAAAGCATCCCGAAGCTGGAGAGGCAGACCCAGGGTGCCCAGACCACCCTGCCCAGCCTAAGAGGATGGGCTGGGTCCCAGTGGGCCTGGCCACTACCTAGTGACTGCTTGGGACAGTGGACGTGACAGGAGGCCCACTCGCCCCAGACAGTCAGAAGCAGGGTACAAACACTCTAGAAACCACACTTGGCAGGAATTCCCAGCCTTCTAGCCTAGGGGAGGGTGCCAGCAGACCAGGCCGCCCTCAGGAGGAGGCCGGGAGCAGCTTCTCCAGGGCCTTCTTCTGCTTCTCGGTGGCCGCAGCCAGGGCCTCAGCCAGCTTCTCCTCGGGCATCATGTTGAGCACCTTGAGGGCAAAGAGGAGCTGGCACTTGGCCGTGCTCACAAAGGCGTTGCTCAGGAAGTTGGGGAAGCCTCCGACACGATCCTTCTGGGTGTACAGCGGGACCCGCACGAGGCCCAGAACCTGCACGGACAGGAAGGAGGGCTTGGGGCCAGGCCCACCACGAGATGGCACCCCTGGCAGGAGGGGCCTGGAAGCTAGGAGGCCAGGGCATCAACAGCCAGCTTTGCTAAGGACTTAATGGGAGACCCAAGCAGGGCCTGGCAGAAGCCAGCCAGCTCCCTCGGAGCAGTACAGCCCCCTTCTCAAGCAAGTGTGGAGACTCACCCCATGCACTCCTGGCTGGTACCTGGACCACACCCGAGGGTCCACACCCCATGCTCCCTGCCCACCCAGCGAAGCCTGAACACCCCGAGTCCAACCCTTCCAGACTACAACACACAAATCCAAAGAGCCTTCACGCCCCCATGAGGTTCCCAACTTTTAACGACCCCCTCTGTGCTCGTTTGCCAACTCCCCAAGCAGGCCCCGCTCCCACATCCCCTCCTCCCCACCGATCCCACCACTCCCCACTCCCAGGATTGGCAATGGCAGGCAGCAAGGCAGATGTAACACAGCCCTGAGGGAGCCCCAGCCCCGGCCCCCACCCCCACCCCTCCTTTCCCGACCCCCTAGCCCCAAACCCCTCTCCCCACCCCGTTGCTGGAGACAGCGACACCCGACCCAGCCCGGCCAGGGGACCCTCAGGGGACGTGTTACCCATCGGTGCCTTCCACGGGGCCAGAGCCAAACCCCGGGGCGGGGGGCGGGGCCCGGGCGGAGGCCCCACCTCCAGGCCGTGGTCGCGCGAGTGCACCGCGCTGATCTCCACGGCGTGCAGCTGCTCCAGCGTCAGCTGCCGCGCGTACAGGTGCGCCACGACGCGGTGCGGGCCCTCGGTCAGGTGCGAGCTCAGGTAGTCGGCCTCGGTGAGGCGCAAGCAGCCCAGGCCCAGGCCCAACACCCGGTTCAGGCCGTCCTCCAGCGACCAGAAGCGCCGGTCCACGAAGCCCCCGGGGAAGCCCAGCAGCCCGTCGAAGCGCATCTGCATCTGCAAGGGAGCGCGGATCACGGGAACGCGGGTCACCGGCGCCGGAATGACGGACGCTCCCAGCCCGGCCCGCGCCCACGCCTGGACCCGCGCCCGTTCTCACCAGCACCGAGAAGCGCATGGGGATGCGGCCGAAGAGCTGCCCGGGGTTGGCGGCGTACAGCATGGCGTGGCACGAGTGGCTCCAGCCGGGCCCCAGACGCATCGCCTCTACCCGGCTGATCTGCTTCAGCTCCGGAACCGCCGCGGTCGACATCTTGGCACTGACCCCGTCCCCGCCGCTGCCACTTAAGAGCATGCGCGAGCCCGCCCCCGCTGCACTCTACCAATCCGCCGACGGCCGCGCCCCCGGGTCCCGCCCCCACGCCAATCGCCGGCGTGGCCCAGGGCCGAGCCCCCCGCAGCGTCGCGGCGCGTAGTTGAGAAGCGCAGGGGGCGGTGTGCAAAGGAAGGCGGCGCGCGTCAGCCGTCACCCAATAGTCGCACACCCCGGGCGGCGGCCCCGCCCAGCCGTCACCCAATAGCCGCGCACCCCGAGCGGCAGACCCGCCTCCGACAGGAGCACTAGGTCGACTGCTCGGTGCCATAGTTGGGTCAAGGTTGACACTGTAGGCGACAAACGTCTCCCTGGGCGCCCCAAAGCTGACACCCGAAAATCCCTGCGGTTTTTCTACCCTGGATACCGCCGATCCCCTTGCGCTCACCCGTTTCTCCCCGGGGCCTGACCCGGCCCGCTGGCCCCGCCCATTCGCAATGGCGCTCTCGGCACAACCATGCTAGCCAGCAACGCCCCGGAATCTCCCTCCGCCGACGCCCCGCACCCGAGCCCAGAGGGAGACGGCCTTCGCCTGCCACCCACGACAGCTGTCCCGCCACCGGGAGCAGGGCCTGGGAGGGCTTGAGTACCCTAGTCCCTGAGTCCAGGATCAGGGCGGAGGACCAGAAACTCGGACTCCGTGGACTCAGCTTGCTGGACAGAAAGTGACTTAAATTCCGGGGCTGGCGCTTTCCAGGATCCTCCAATCCGGGCACCCTGTGCCAGGTACTGTGCGGAGGAGGGGGAGGGAAGAGGGGTTTCCCCAATTTACGATGAGGAACTTGGGGCTCAGACAGGGACAGAACTTGTCTAATTGCACCCAGCAGTTGGTGACAGAGGCACGATTCCACCCCAATTCCACAAAGGCCTGAGGTACTTACCCTGTATCTGTACTGGAGAAGTCAGTCTCTGGGGCTCAGAAACATAAACAGCCAAGGGAGAATGAGGTCCCCGGAACTCCACGATGGCGAGGCTCACCTCAGCAGCAGCAGGGCCCACTCCTCCCGACCGGGGAAACGGATTTGCTGAGCATCGCCCTGGGAGAGCTGTGCAGTGAGGCCAAGCTCGCAGGCACAGAGAAAGCTGCCTTGAGTGGAGCCAGACAGGAGAGAGGTGGACAGAGGGTAGGCACTGGAAACTCACCTGTTAGGTCCATGGCGTCGTCAGATGTGAAGAATAAAGCCATAGAGAGGACACCTCTCTCTCTTGCTGTGGCCACCAGTGAAGATGGTCACACGGGTCAGCTGCAGCCAGCAGGGGAAGCCCCGATTCCAGGGTAAGCGACCATGTTAGAAAGTGAGAGGGCAGCGAGGGGAAGGGTCCTCCCACCCAAAGAGGGCCTGACCCCTTGACAGCCAAGCCAAGCCAGAGACCCAGAGCCCAGGGTCCTTGAGACGCATGGGCACTGGAGAGGAGGCTCCCGTTGCTCCAGCCCCTCCCTGACACCAAACACCAATAAAAATGCTGGGTCTGTTGGGAGGTAGAGGGGAGCCGATCTGGCCCGTGCAAGCACCCGTCTGACACTCCTCCACCCACAATGGGATGGGGCCAGACCCAGGCCTGTCAGAGCAGCTGCAGGGCCCATGGGTGGCAGCCTTCTTGAGGGACTGATGGGCCAAAACACGGGCACCCCCTCCACCCTCAGGGTCTTCAGTCAAAGGGCATGGTGGCAGCTTGACCTGTGTGCAAAGGAGCTGGGGCCTGGAGTGGTAGGCGGTGGTGTGGTGGCTGCCCTGGTGCACTGGACACTCCCTGGGCACGGGAGCAGGGGCTGTGCAGAGGCCTGGAGCTGGGCTCTAGCCCTGGAGCCCACAACCGTGGGTGGCCAGACCTGCTCCGGCCATCCGGGCTCCACATGCCAGCTGTAGGGCAGTGGCACTGCCCCTCTGCTCGAAAACCTGTTCTTAAAACTGACTCCCCCTTAGATGGAGGTTGCAATGAGCAAAGATGCACCACCACTGCACTCCAGCCTGGGTGACAGTAAGACTCTACCTCAAAAAACAAAACCAAAAAACCTGACTCCCCCTAATAAAAACATTCCAGTACCCTCTACAAGATCTTCAGTAGCTATCCAGCACCCTTCACTCCCACCAGGGGCTCTGTCCCCAGGGGACACACCAGGCTCACTACTGCCGCATGGAGCACTCTGAGGCCAGCTCCTCCTCAGCCTTCAGGGCTGTTTAAGCCGCAGGCTCTCCCTGCCGCCCAGTTCACTGAGTCCCTTTTAAGGTTTCGTCTCACCACCACCCTTTCTTCCTAATAGCATCCAAACCTGGCAAGGTTCTGATTAGCAGCTGGGTGTCTCACTGCCTGGAATGCAGGCGCTTGGGGTCCGGGCCTCAGCTGTTCTGCTGCCACTGGAACACACCAGGTGCTCAGCAAGATGGGAACAGGAGCAACAACTCTCACACCTGCAGGCCCCGGGCTACCACACCACCTGTTCAGGAGACAGCCCTATCTGGAGGGTATGGCTTCCCTCTAACCAGAGGAAAGCCGAGACAGGGCTGGCTGAGAGCCAGCGTTCTCAGCCCTCACCTTGCTGACTGCCCTGACACCGGAGGGAAGCCAGGCAGAGGCCATGAAGCTGCCAGGCTGTTGGAGCCAACCCAACCACCCAGTGGCCCAACTCCGGGTCAGGAAACAGCCACTGTCCTGAGGGCTGTGCCCAGAGGAAGGAACAGACAGTATATTGCTGCGTGATTTTATTACTATAAATATACAGTAAAAACAAACGGGCCCATCTGAGCACATCAAATGGCAGCACGTATGAGTCCCAGCGGGCCATTCTGCAGCCCGAACTTCACGCACAGCCCTGGCACCAGGACTGACAGCCAGAGGCTGGGGCCTTGGCGGAGCGGGAGGAGAGGTGGGGCTGTGGGGTGGTGCGTTGGGGAGAGGCGCGGGGGGAGATGCCCGGGCTGAGTGCACACACACGTGGGAGCATATGCGTATGTGTATGCATGTGCAAATGTGCCTGAGCATGTGTGCGTGAACGTGGGAGCATGTGTATGTGTGAGGGTGTGTATGAGCATGTGCAAGTGACTGTGCATAAGCATGTGTGCGTGAACGTGAGAGCATGTGTGTGCATGTGCACAAGGGCAGGAGGGGGGCTGGCCTGGGTGCACAGGGAGCTGGGTGTGGGGACCACTGCTGGATCTCCCCTGAGAGCCCAGGAAGCAGAGCTTGTGCTCGGAGCCACCTGAGCCTCAGGGAGGGCAGTGAGCTGCCCCACAGCCATCTGATCCCCAGGCCGGGCTGCAGGGCAACCTCCCCGCCCGGGCCAGAAGACCTGCACATACCTTCCTGGCCCAGGGCCCTGCTGGGGCGGCTCGATCCCTGGGTCACCAGGGCCAGATACCCCCTTCACCTGCCTGCTGCTCAGGTGGTTTACCTTAATAAAAACAGGACGAGGTCGCCCAGAGGCCAAGCCTCCCGGCTGTGACCTCACTCACCAGGTGGGCTGCTGGCTCCCTCCTTCCCGGCTGTGACCTCACTCACCAGGTGGGCTGCTGGCTCCCTCCTTCCCGGGCGGGTCCCACCACGGGAGCCTGACACGTCAAAGAGAACTGCAAGGGGGCCAGGCGCAGTGGCTCATGCCTGTAATCCCAGCACTTTGGGAGGCCGAGGCGGGTGGATTGCCTGAGGTCAGGAGTTCGAGACCAGCCAGACCGACATGGTGAAACCCTGTCTCTACTAAAAATACAAAAAAATTAGCCAGGGTTGGTGGCATGCGCCTGTAATCCCAGCTACTCGGGAGTCTGAGGCAGGACAACCACTTGAACCTGGGAGGTGGAGGCTGCAGTGAGCGAAACCATGCCACTGTACTCCAGCCTGGGCGACAAAAGTGAAACTCCATCTCAAGAAAAAGAGAACCGCAGGGGACATTCCAATAGCAAAGGGGAACGAGGCGGCCACCAGGTCCTCCTTGACAGGGCGCTGCCGAACAGACAGCCCTGCAACTGGAGGTGCCTGGCGATGTCACCAAAGCCAGCACGGTGAGAAGGTGCGGGGCTTCGTAACAAGGCCACTGGATGAGGGCTGCTGGAAGCGGCTGTGCCTCGGCCCCTCAGTCAGTTCCAGTGCTAGGCTGAGATGCTTTAGCTGCCCAGAGCAACACCCGTGCACTCCAAAGCTCTGAGCACTGAAGGCGCCAGCCGAGACACACCAGGGAGGGCATGGAGGCTGCATAAACACGGCAGAGGACAAAAGGCAGCAACAGCCAGGCTGCCGCGGTGACACAGGCGGGCTGGGCGGACAGGCACTGTTTCCTTCACTGACCACGCGTGCCTCGAGCCCCCACCGCCCCCGAACATCTGTGAAGATAGTGCTTCACCCACCAATAAATTCTCTTGTGCAGGTCTGCTGAGTTCTCTGGGCAGTGACTGCACTGCTGCGGGACCGGGTGTAGCCAGCGCAGGCCACGTGTGGGCAGCCCCAGCCCCAGACGCTTGGCCCACCAGACCCTGGGGAACCGAGGAGCTGAACTCAGGATGGAAAGCTGCTGTCCTTCATCTTGTACCAGTTACAAATATATCAACCATAGAAAAGGGGGATTCAGGGGACGGTCCACTGTGCTCTTTGATCAAGGGTCACCACAGCCCCTTGGAGCCTGGTGGCCACAGGGGGCATGCAGAAAGGAGAGGCCGAGTCACACCGGGGTCTGGGGCAGCCCCTTGGCAAAGTCTAGGGAGCTGAGGGCTCCATGCTGCCAGCTTGGCCAGGCTCTCAGAGTGAGGTCAGCTCGGCGGCGCTGGGATCGGGGCTGGGGCCACCAAGAGGAGGCCAGGTGGGGCTGGTGGTGCCAAGGCTGTGGGCCATTTCCATGGAGGTGGGCCATCCTGTAGGCAGGAGCAGAGGGAGAGGGAGGTGGGTCACACTCAGCTGCTTGGTCCCATGCCACCCACTCCTACCAACCTGAAGCCACACAGGGGTGGGCCACCCAGCACCCCCACTCCCGCCACCTGTCTGTGACCAGAGCAACAGATGGGGCCTCCCCAGCCCTGCTGAGCACAGTATGTCCCTCTCAGGCAGATGACCCCACAACCCTGGACACTGGACACATCACCCCTCATCCTGGGACACCAGGCAGATCACCCTGCACCCCCGGACACCAGCAGCAGAGCTGCAGCCCCGAGTCAGAACACAACATGGCGCTGTGGCTTCTGCCCTCTGGGTCTCCTGCCCTCCCCCTGGTTCCAGTTTCCTGGGATGTGACCACCCGCTGTCCTGCCAAGGTCCTTATGGCTGGGTTAGGCTAGAACTCAGTCAAACCAGGGAGGAGGGGCGGGGAGCAGCCCTGAGCAAGAACAATCCTGTGCTCAGAGTGGCCCCATGGTGGCTTCTGTGAGGCAGAGAAGCCTCCCACAGAGCCCCGACGCTTGCACTGTGGCTTCTACACTGCCACCAGGTGCTGTCTCCCGATGGGTCTGGCATCCCCGGGGCTTGGTTAACGGTGCTGGTGCTGAGCCTGGGACAGGGCCAGCACAGCCTCAGGGCTGCCCAACATCCAGCCACCAGCCCTGACGCACGGCTCCCAGTAGACACGGCCCGGCCCCACTCTCACGTCAAGGACGGTTATCTTCTTCGGGGGCCGCAGCCTGCAGCGAGACCGGAGTCAGAGGCTGTGAGCCTGTCCCAGACCACACCTGCACTCCCACCTCTGGAAGCTTAACCGGAGCCGTAACATTCGAACAGCACCGTCCACCGACGCGCAGGCCGGGGCCCTCTGAAAGGTGCGGGTGGCGTTTCAGTCAAGGGGTATGACAGGTCAGGAGAGGGGTCCACAGAGGGACGCGCTGGGACGCAGAGTGCAGTCAAAACAAGCACGGCTCCCAGGCCCAGCTCAAGTCCACCCAAGGGGAAAGGGCCTCTGGGAGCCTGGACCCTGGCCGGGCACTTCCCAGCGAGCCGCACGGGACTTGCCCGACGATGACTGCGGTCGTGTGCGGGAGCCCTGGGCTCAGAGCACCGGCAGCCCCTTAGCAGACCAGAGCTGCAGGCGGCTTGTGCGCCCAGACCCTTCAGGAAGGCAGAGGCCCCAATCTGCCTGCCTACCTGGAGCTGTCCGTGTGTGTGTGTGTGTGTGTGTGTGTGTGTGTGTGTGTGTTCGTGTGTGTGTGTTCGTGTTCGCATGTGTATATTTTCTGTTTTTGAGACAAGGTCTCAGGCTGGAGTGAGCCTTGACCTCCCCACCGCCCCAGCTCCCCGTG